TTTTTTGATTTGATGTTTGTGGTTATACAATTTCACTTTCTTTTGCCAAAATGGCTTTGGAAGGGGAATTATAATCTGATTTCCTCATGTAACATAGGCTGACATGATGATGGGTAATGTTGCTTTGTGCCTACTTCGATCTCGTTATGTAAGACTTTGGTTTGAGCAATAATATGTATTTGTTTGTCGTTATGGAGGCAATTTTTGACAATGTACTTATATACGTCTGTCTATGAGTTGACATTCATAAATGCGTGTTCATATCCAACAGATACGACTGCTTAATATGAGCCACATATTCATGATTTGTTATAAAAACTGGAATCAGCAAGATAAGTGGAAGTGCAATACAATGAACAACCAGGTTAACTTGGAAAGGCAACCGACAACCATCTTAATGTTTTAGATATTTCTTAGATTTTCAATAATTCAATGTCAATTGAGTGAATGCAAAAGTTGCATTTTTCGTAATGGTTTGCAAAATTTTTATTTTTTCAAACCCGCATGAAAGTGAATGAAGTCACAACAAATATCAGAAGATTCCAAATCAACACACAAGACACTTCAAAATATAGTTACCAAAGTTAGGCTACCAACCAAACAAAAGGACCATGTATCTAGTAGCATTACACTTCATTAAAACAGATATTATCATGTCAATCAGCAGCCACGAGAACAAAAAGAACCTAAGTTTGTCATGGCCTAAATCTGATCCCTGCTACTAACAAATCCTAACCCTGAACTCGGTCACTTTATCCGGGTTGAGTGGTCCGACGTGGGTGAACATGCATGAAGAACCAACCAAAATTCCACTATCAATCACAAACTGTCGAGCACCACCGTTTTGCAACAATCTCTTGCCATTACCATGAATTACATCAACTTTGTAAACCTTCTCATTGAAGATGATGACAACCTTAGTGTAGTTGTTAAAGTATCCCTCGATGTGGTCTCTCCAAAAAGGCATTGGAATTGGCTGCATATTTGTCAGTTCATTTCAGCGTAATGGATGGGAAATATATATGAAATATTATTTATTTGAATAAATAAAAACTTAAGCAGTGTTTACTTACGAAGCATGCCCGGTCAATGTGCGATTTTTTTTTATGTCCAAACAAAAGTGGTATATCGGTGCTCTTTCACAACCCGTTTTGTCCGTCACCATAACTTTGAAATGGAAATTGTTGATTCTCTTGAAAAACATAATGTAATGTATTTCAATGTATTATGCCTTAATGTAAGCATCCCATCATTCGACCAAGGTCGGCTGATTATCCACCATTTTCCGAGTTACTTCATACTCACGTCCTTCTAAAGTCTGGATTATACATTTTTGTGGAAGCTCGGACCTATAATGTTCTCAAATTGCAGGAGGGAGAGACTAAGTAAATGAAGTTTAAAATATAGATGAATATAACGTACACCAAAAGATCTAGTATGAAAAATAACATAACATGTTATGCTATTATTTAGAAAGACCCTCGTACCAGGGAACTCATTTGTGTCTCAAGAATGATCTTAAAAAATCTTGTCCACTCGTCAGCCATGACAGAACACCTAAGAAAAACACATTAAAATTAGCATATCAGAAATAAAGAACTATGCTCTGGCTGGCCTTATTCATTTGGACTGTACGGCAGACACAAATTTACCATCAAAGTTCGAAATGAAAACAAAAAGGACTCACAGACAATGTGTTTGTCGTTTATAGTTGTGTTCATCATTTTGTACTTGTGTTTGGACACAAATTCCAGTAATTGGAGCAATCTATAGATGATTCCATAAACTATTGTTATTCAGTTAATGGTTTTACAAGGGTCCTGGGTTATTCATTTTTTATTTTTCAATAATTTTAGTACTATTCGGTAGAATCTTCTTGTCATGAATAACATGTTCTCTTGTGTACTACAAAATTTGGGTTGTTCGGTTAAGAACCACTTTAATTCACAATTTTTTTTTTTGGATTTTTTGGCATGATTCCTAAGCCGGTCATTCAACCAATAGCAGCTCTCTTTCCCCTTGTTGGGGGAGTTTTTTGATTGCTTAAACAGGTTGCCAAAACATAATATATGGCTAAAATTTAATTAACTGATGCAAACTAACCGAAACAGAAAAGCCGATTTTGACCAATTGAAAACGAATATATTTGTTTAGGTTTTGGGTTAAATTTTTTTTCTAAAAATGGTTTTTGTTCTGTTTGGATAAAATTAATGTTTGCAACGCAAATATGATATTACATATTAATTTGCAAAGCCCAACTACAAGTGTAAATCTACAAAAGAGCCCTTTAATAAGCCCACTTATAATTCAAATTCTTAATAAAAAACAAAAGCCCAAGTACGGCTATGACAAAGTCATTTAAGAAACAACGGAAATTAACCCTAACATTCCAACCACATCTGAAGGCCGACGATATTTTTAACCTTTCACAGTAAAATTCAGAGCAAACAAACGGTTAACCGGAAAATGGCCAACGACATTTCAGAGCTGACGATATTTATCAAAGTTATTCTTCGATCAGAAGATCCCTTCCTGGTAAGCATTCTTAGCCAATAATTTCATTATGTTGTGTGCTTTTTGTTTTCTGAACAACGAAGGTTAATGGACAATTGTCTGTGAATTTTCGGTATGGGTATGAGTAAGATAACATGCATTTTTTAAGCAGTATCCTATATCTGTTTGCAAAATTTATATGGTGGAAAATGGGTGTGGAAAATCTTAATTCAATTTGTATTTTATAAATTAACAAAATGTTACATACTTGTTTCTTGATTTTAATGATGTTGTGGATAATAGGTGATTCCCCATGCCAATGATCGGTATTTTGATGGGGTGCTGCTCCCCATTACTTGTACAGTGCATAGCGACACTCTTGCAAGTGGGCGCTGTCGGGACTTGACAGTGGAATTTTTGAGTGAAAGAATATGTTTCACTGATGGATGGGCTGAATTCGCTCTTGATGACAACATAAAAGTTGGTGGATTTTTGGTTTTCAAGCTGGCCAAGGCGAACAATTTTGAATTTATTCGCTTTGACAATAGTTTGTGTCAGCAGAATCGGTTAATGCAGGGGAATAATGTGCTCGGACTGCCTGGCTGCAAGCCTCAATTGTTGGCTATCAACCGATTCATGGAAATTAATTGAATTTCAGCAACAGACTGGTAAACGGTCTATTCTGATAATCAATTGCGTGGCCATGTTTTCGAATTTGTTGTTAGTTCATCAGTTAACAATTTTCAAATTTCATGTTTCCTAGCCTCTTCCACCTGCAATTAATCAGGGGATCGAAGATTTTCTTCCCATAGAATGCACCCTTCAGAACACCAACGTTGATGACGCGTTCAAATGGCCGGTTGTGATTAAGCGTTTTGGATCCAGAATTGGCTTTTTAGATGGATGGGAGGAATTTGCAAGAGATAATCATCTGAAGATAAATGAGCTACTGTGTTTCGAACTTCGAGATCCAGAATTGCCTTAGTTGTTGCAGGAAAGCAACTAGAACAATGTTGGGATGTTGCATTTCCGACGATGAAGTTAGCGCTACTGATGCAGAAACTGTTGATGGTTGCTTCAGTATAGAGGTTTCTTTCACCCTTGTCACCCGCGGGAGACAGGTAAAATATTTGTATATTTTGTTTTCCGACCGAAACTTCTCTTTTGTATGAATTGTAAAATAATTGTTGATATGTATTATTAGACATAATATTAATAGTCTTTATTTACAGACGATTCCATCACATTCTGGAATCAAGCGTTGATGGGGAAATTTAATAGCGCTCAGTCTGCTATTATTCGTCATCGGGGCAAGGAGTGGACAGTCCGAGTGAAAAAGGAAGGGAACAAACACGTATTCACTGGACTTAAGCCTTTTATAGATGATGTTGATATAGCTGAAGGATGCATTCTCAACTTTAGGAGAGTGAATTGCAATTATCTAGTCTTTCATGTTCATGTCTGAACAATTACATTTTCCCTGTGCACATGAACAGTTCGATAAGGCTTTTGATTGTCGCCGAACAAGTACGGTTTGTGGATGAATGAACAATTTATTGTCCTTTTGTCAATTATTATCATCTTTAGATTGTTTACTATGTTGTGAGTAATCAGCATTTTGTTAACACCTTTTCTGTACAACTTTTGTTGGGTTGGTTTTTATTTATGTTGCATTGGCATACTGAACATCCTATATTATCAGACATGTTTTTTAAATTCATTATGACGATACATTACACATCTGAGAGTGAATTACATATGAAATTTGTATAAAATATTGCACAAATTGTGTGTGTTTTCATTGTTTAACAATGACTATGACAGTGAATTACAAATGAAATTGGTATTAAATATGACATATTGTGTTTTTCCATTGTTTAACAATGACTTCTGTGCTTGGTTCAATTGTTTATTAATGTCTACAATACATCAAAACAACTTTAAAATCTGATGAGTTCACAGTCAATATGTACGAGTACAATAACACTTAGATTCATACTCACACCAATTGCCCTGCCAAAGTGCTCAACAATACAAACTCCAAGCATTTATTCATACATTATACCAGACTTCAGAACTCAGTAGTAATTGAACAATACATACTCGAGTCATCATGCATAGTACAAAGCAAATGTGCCACATTGCAATCACTACATAACTACAACACCCCATTCTTTGATCCGAAGTCCATCTTTAGAAGCTATTCGTCTACTCCTTTAGTCACCTGCAAACAACTCTCCGGGAGTGGAATTCTGAGCAGAAGAAATTTCAAGACACCAGTATCTAAATGAATGAGCATGTACCTGCAACCTATTCCAAGTAGTTTCCTACACAGTTTAGCCCTTATGCTGTTGAAGAATGTGTTCTTCATACTCTGGTTATTCTTCAAAGGCTTTACTCAACCAAGATTATATGACAATCGGGTAAAGCACATTAAGGAATAAATACAACATAGTCATCATCCTCATACATGTTGAGAATGTAAACTGGTTGCTAAGTATATCACATATAACACTTCAAAAACCCGCATCCTCAAATCAAAATCATCAAATTAAATTGCAGAAATAGGGAAAAATCGCAAAATATCAATGATCGAACATATATATGAATATTAATTGACACATACCCGAATCGCTAAAATTTGAAACCGAATTTCGAAACACAAATGAACAATTGACAGAATGTGGTTTCACTTTCGTTTATCGTGCCTGCGATTGGAATTCAAGACATTTCGATTTAACGGCTTGAAACAACCGCGAAAAAGAAGAGATCGATTGCTATGAATTCATGAACGATTGCAAAATGTTCGATCGTTTTAAATTATTGCTGCTGCCGGTGCTCTGTTCGAAAATTGGAAACATGGAGAGGACATGAAGATAAATTCTGATGATGATGAATACAAGAAAATGTAATTTGGATATAAGAAGAGGTTTATTTGAAATATGTTAATGTGTTTGGGTATAATAGAAATATATGATTAATGAAACACCTATTAAGTAAATATATTTATAGTTAAACATTTTTTTTAATTAGTATTTTTAAGTAAGGGTATTTTTGTACTAACCTATACGATTTTTTTAATTTTTTTATAATTTAATTATGAAAAGGGACACTTGGCAAGAATTGGAGGGGTACCTGTTGTTATGAATGTACGAGGCATGTATGAGGGGTACCTGACGGTAGAATCACCCAAGTAACTAAATACATTCTCTATTTAGAATCTTTTAGTCCTTTTACTTTATTAAATTTCTCTAATTATTTGGGTGTTCCTAAAACTCTTTTCACTAGATTTCTCAAATTGTTTGTATGTTTGTAAGTTAAAAACTTATTTCACTAGAGTTCTCCAATTGTTTTGATGTTTTTGAAAATTTTCCATAATGTTTAGGAGATTATGTAATGAGTTAAGATATACGATAATGTATCTAGGTAGTTGTGTATATATGTTTAAATTTTGGAAAAATGGATAAACTAAAAAACGAAACTAGTTATCATCAAATTATAGGATGTTATTACTAATTTTATGATAATATTTTTATATAATAATTTATACGTTTCAATATTTGATACTAAAATTTACATTAACAATAAATAAATAAATCAAGCTATGACGAGCAATTGATTTTCTTTTCAATATTTGATACTAAAATTTACATTGACAAAAAATAAATAAATCAAGCCATCCCATGACGAGCAATTGATTTTTTATGACTGATTTTGTTGTGATTTCTCTTTGACGATAGAGAGAGGAGAAGATGAAAAGAATGAAATTGGGACTTTTCTTTTTTCTGAATCTACTTAACCTGTCAAGACTTGGTTAATGGTCTGGATTTTTTCCAAATTATCTGTATGAACTTGGGATCTTTTGATCACTCGACTTGTATTTATGATTGAGTTTACCCACGTTTGTTATTTGCTAAGATTAGCAGGCTGGCAGTGGGTGGCGAAGAAACACCAGATGAACGTGGGGATACCTCCCATTAGATTAAAAAAAAAAAAGTTGAATTAAATATTTTTCAATTATGAATGAGTATAAAATAAAGATATGATAATAACT